GCGTCTTTGCGCAAGGACATTTGGCACACTGGAAGAAGCTGGCAGATGGAAATCAGGCAAGCAACTGAGCAGTGGAGGTGCTTGAGTCAAGCTAATTGGATCAAGACTGCGAACCAAATCAAACAAAGTTTAGTTTAGTTGAGAAAGTCAAAGTTGTGTAGAGGTACGTAGAATGCAAAACGCATATCATCTTGAAGGATTGGATGTGTGGGAAAGTATCAATTCTTTACGGGGGAAGGTGTGTGTGGGTGTGTGCAGGAGCTCACAGACGAATTAGCAGGGCTGCCTGAGGTAGAGATTCCAGAGAATAAGTGGCCAAAGTCACTTCTAGAGGAAAAACAAAGGAACGTATCGCTACTAGGGGCTCCTGGCCTTACTACTAGGAGCAAGGCCGCTATAAGTAGACTTTCACGACATCACAAAAATCGCCATACCACACCTCAGCACGCGAAACAGAACACATTGCACATCGCGACAAGCATGACGCGCGACAGGCAACAACATTCACCTCAAAAACACATCACCTTTTGATCTGCCACAGTTCACATCAAAAAGACCTCCCTTGTCAAGGAAGCTACTAGGAACAAGTGCATCGCTTCTAGTAACAAGTGCCTTACTAGTAGTAACAAGGAACCTACTAGTAACAAGAAGCTATTGGGAACAAAGCCCTCCTCAAGGCCCTCCTCACCTGAGGTTCTCCTGGGTGGAGCCATGGACCCTCCTCAAGCTGCAGTAATTGTCTTGCATGGGAAGCTTGGCTGAGAACTTTGAGCACTTGACTCGGTCTGGTTGCTGATTCTTCTAGTTTGTCTTTATCGTTTACGAACCGTTTCTGAAGCCAGCAATTATTGCGCCACGGGATCTTTGGAATTGTATCAAATCCAGTTTGGACACGGTGGCGGTGGAGGCTAGCACGTGAATCCCACTGTGACATCGGTTGATGATAGCAAATCTGGCGAGGATCGACCGCGACAAAGTGGAGGCGTATGTCAAAGAAGATCCTTACGTCATGAATGGTTTGGCACGGGCCTTTGTTAATGGACCGTTCAACTGTAAGCCAGGGAAAAAAACACCGTACAAAAACCGTAAGCCCTAAGACTCCTAGCCTTAGACCTTCATTCTTCTTCTTTGCAAAGAGTCGTCACACGTTGAGATGTTGATGTTGTTTCCGATGACCATGAGGTGCCCTCCTACGACCTCAAAGACTGGAATGTGGTTGTGGGATCTGCAATGCCAAAAGCTGCGTGAGGAGGAAAAAGAACCAACAATGCGCGCGTCCAGCCAACTCAGTGAGGCCGTTAAAGGAATGTGAGGCGTCCAAAAAGAGAATTTGAGGCGAGCACAATGGAGATGAATTCGATCACTTTTCTGGATTCCAAAATCGAATGAATGAATTTGGTAACAGAAGTTCTTCACTAGCTACTAGCCTCCCTTTAGATGGCTCGTGCGATGTTATTGCGGTAGTTTGGCTCAAGCGAAGAGCGCGAAGAGGTTCCGACAACTTTAAAGCCTTGGGCGGTGAACCTCAGGTTGTGGCCTCATCTATCGCAGGTGGCAGGTGCTTACCAGTGATCACTTGCCTACTGTCTGGCTCTTCCCACAATACATTCTGTGGACCCACCAAGCCATTGGCGTTGCTGGATTCATCAAGCCCATAACCCCTCCATAACCCCTCCCCGCCCAAGCCCAGGTGGATGGCAGTGGCAGAGAAGATCGGACATCCAGCACCCAGACTGTCAAGGAGCCGAGCCCTTCAAATGGGATTCTCTAGAGGATTGTCGAGGCATTTTCATTTGCTTTGATGGTTCCTTTTATCTTCCAAAATAGGGCATCGCTATGAACGGAGCAAGGACGCTACTAGGGGCTCCTGGCCTCACTACTAGGAGCAAATATCTACCAGTAGTAATGCCCTCAACTTCTTGGTGGCGATTCGATCTGCGAATTCCATTGCAGTGTTTAGCTGCAAAAGACACCAGAAGAGACCAGAAGACACCAGAAGAGACGAAGTTGCAGCCTGGCCTTCCACGGCCTTCCACGGCCTTCGCCTTGTTGTAGGGCTCGCACGGTGGAGCTCTTTGAAAGAAACCGCTGGTGAGGAACCTCAGGGATTTGGTCCCTTTGAGCGATGCCTAATGGTAATGGACTCCAACCGGTTGCAACCTACGAGCGACGGCCTCGAACCAACCTAGCGACGGCCTCTAAGCTACTTGCGATGTCCTCCAGGGCTGGTGAGTGACCTCAGGGATTGGGTCCTTGTGGGCCATGGATGACACTGATGACACAGAACTCTTTGAGGTTGACTCGATCCAATGTCGACCACACCGTGGCAGTGCTTACCATGAAGTTGGAAGGGCCACGCCCAGTTTGGAAGCCCGGTGAAGTGGCACAGAAGGGACTTGTCAAGCCATCCGACTGCATAGGTCCAAAGGAGATAAAGGAGCTCAGCCACAGATCCGTACTGTAAATATGGAACAGATGTGCAACATAAATACCGTACTATTTAAAGGCTTACGCCTGACAGCCGGGCGCCGGCGCACTTGGGTAAGAGAGTTCTGGGTCGAGGCGGTTGGTGTCGCTCGCGGTGTTTGCGGGGCGTGGTTTCGGTGAGGGACCCGCCACGTTTCCATGGAGTCTTCCACGGAGAAGACGGGGGCCGGGGTTTGGGGCACCCCGGCAGCACCCGTCCGAGGGACGGGGGCTGACTGCCCTGGTTGCTTGCAGCAACCAAAAGTCGGGAGAGCCGTCGGAGAGAGAGGAGGCACATGGAGCGCGATGCACGCTGGGAGGCGGCAGCTGTCAGCTGGCAACAAGTGCGTCGCTCACGCCAGCCAGCCACAGCCCTGGTGAGGACAGGCAGACGTCGTTCCAGCCTCAAGGACATTGTCTGCAAGTTGATGCGCCAGCGAGGCCGGCGGGGGTGGAGAGGTTGGGGGTTGAGGCGTCGACGCCGCAAGTCGGAGACGCAGGGTGGCAAAGGACTTAGACAGCATGCCACAGAGAGTAGTTAGCAAGAAACAGTCGACACCGGAAAGGGGACAAACAGTCGACACCGGAAAGGGGAAAGATACAGAGACTGGCGAGACGTGGGCTCAACGACAGGCGAGCCTGTGAACAGAGCAAGAGCATGTGCAAGCGAGAAACAGCCTCCAACCCAAAGACACCAGAAGCAACCAGCGCTGAACTCCCAGAGCGATAGGATAGCCAAGAGTAGAGTGCAAGAGAAGCTAGGAGACGGCCAGGGTTGGAGAGCAACAGCAACCAAGCACACCTGACCTTTTTTATCCCCGTTGAAATGTCCTCTACAAAAAGGGAGAGCTGGAGGCCCTTGCAAAGGGGCTATTTTGTAACGAGGCAGTTTTTGGCACCTATCGAAGACCATTTTTTGTAAAGAAATCACCTTGCTGTATGGATGGCTATGCACCTGTAAGCATAAGATAGCAATCTTGAGGCAGCATCATTTTGTAGTACATGCCATTTTGTAGAGGGCAAACCAGCTTGGGTCAGAGCTTTTTGTAGACCCCAAACTTGGTCCCGTTACAAACGGTTCGCCCCAACCTCTCCCCCTTTGTTTTAATGGGGAT